CTTTTTCTTTTCTTGTCTTTTCTTTCTTTCCTTCTTTCCCTCTTTCCTTCCTCCCTTCCTCCCTCCCTCTTTCAATCTTTCCTTCCTTCTTTCTTTTCTTTTTTCTTCCTTTTTTCCAGTATAATGCTTTAGCTTTTAGGCTTTTTTTTTTTTTTTTTTTTTTAATAACAGAAATACCATTAACATACGGTGTTATATTAGTTTCAGGTGTGCTCGGTCTCTTCGTTGTTATTGGAAACATTTGTACTATGTTCTTCACCACATGGTCATTGTTTTAAAAAATAAGCAACTATAGTCAACAAAAAAAGGAAAACTGATCCATCGTCGCACTTCTCAGAGACAACTACTGCTCATATGTTGGTGCCTAACATTTTGGGGTTTTTTCCTGATATATACATTTTTAAGAAGCTATCAGACTGTATTGCAGTGTTCTTCAACTCTTTTTTTTTTTTTTTTTTTTTTTTTGCCCAGTTACGATGTGGGGGTCCCACACTGCCTCCCTGCTCAGTGCTGCCTGTCACCCTCCGGCTGCTGGGTCACCGCCTTAGACTGTCACCATTGCTACAGCCGAATTCAACACAAAAGCAGCTCCTGGTCTCAGAAGCAGTCCAAGCAGCAGGTCAGATCAGTTAAGGAGACAAAATAAAATGAATCTATCAACGCTGATTCATTTAACCAGAGAGAAAGCAGCCCCATAGGTGGGAGAACACACTGGCAAGTGAGAAAGGTGAGGTGGAGATATTTATTCGAGCCCAAACCTCTCCTTTGTTCTGTCTTCTGAGTCTACTCAGGTTTACTCCAGGGATCTTTCTGGGCCTCCACAGTGGGTCTATCAGGCCTACAGAAAGGCCCTAAGGTGAGCACCAGCTAACATCACTGCGGCTGCAGGAGTGGTTTTCGTCCTAATCTAGCCTCCTTGGTGTCTACCCAGTCGGTCCCTTGCGATGCCCCTCATGCTTAGATGGTTTTCTTCCAAATTGGTGCCAACCTAATGATATTTCTGTGTTCAAGGCATCCAAGATTATGCCAACAGCCAATCACTGATTTTCTAGTATATTATGAACTCCCATTGACACGACTAATCTGACCCATCTATGTATTTTACTGTCTTTGTAAAGTTCTTGTTTTGACGCAAATCTGTTTTATTTCCATATTAAGTTTATGTATCTAAAATGCCATTAGGCGCTGTTTAAATTTCATTTTACTCCCAATGATAGGTCATATTTTCTCATGCTATTGAGAAAATAAAAATCAATAAAAATCAATTTTTTATTGATTTTTAATGGTAACATAGTAAATCCATACTCAATTTATTTCAATAATCAACTATAGAACATTTCGGTAATTTTCAGCTTTTTGGTTTTATTAAAGAATAATTTGGTGAACATCCTGGTACCTTAGCTCTGTGTGCCATTGGGATTCAAGGTAAATGCCTACAAGTGGAACTTCTGCGCCATGGGATGCAGGCTTTTTTTTTTTTTTTTTTTTTTTAATGGCTTTTGCTACCTCCTGGCAACTCAGCCTTGGTAGTTTGTGTTTTACACCTACAGGTATTTTTGCTGTACTTTCCCTTACTAATCTACCCAGTTTTTGACCAATCAATTCTCCACCTAGGATGTATGGCAGGGCTACTGGAGCCGGCTCTCTTAGAACCAGAGGTTTCACAGCCCAGGACACTTTAATTTCAGATACACCATTTCATCTTGGAAAATTCCTCTTCGTTCATCCAGCTGCAATGCGTCAGGCACCATTATAGGCAAAATAAAGTGCAGTGGTGAAAAACATAGCAGGGTAAGGAAGTGACAAAGCAGGGGTGTGGGCCTCATATACAATAAATGTTAGATGTGTGTCTGTTTAACACGAAGTTTCAAGGAAGCGTTCAGGTAGAGGGCACTGCCTGAACCAAAGGTGTGGGGAGCCAGCGTCAAGGGAGGGGCTGGGGCGGGAGAGAAGATGGGAGGTAATTGGGTGACCAGATTGAGCCAGGTTCCATAGGCCATTAGGACTTTGGCCTTTACTCTGGGTAAAACAGAAGCCTTCACAGAGTTTCAGCAGAGGACTGATGTGCTCAAGCTGCTGGGCCAGACCAGAGGATGCCAAAAGCAAAGCAGGGAGCCTTGTGAAGAGACAGAGTGGGTTGCATAGTGTCCCCAAGATGCATGTCCCCCTAGGACCTCAGAATGTGACGTTGTTGGAAACAGAGTCTTTGCAGATGTAATTAGTTAAGGATCTTGAGGTGAGGTGAAATCACCCTGGACTTAACGTGGACTCTAAATTGAAACCCGATAATCTAAGGGGAGGGGAGGGGAGGGGAGGGGAGGGGAGGAGAGGAGAGGAGAGGAGACAGAGACACGGAGAAGGCATGTGAAGGCAGAAGCAGAGATTGCAAAGGAAATGCCAGGACCTCCCTCCCCACCCTCACCCCCCCAAAGCTGAGAGAGACAAGGATCTTGCTCGAGAGCCTTAGGAAGGAACACAGCCTCGCTGACACCTGTTTTAAGTCCCCGAGTTTGTGGTACTTTATTATGAGAGCCCGAGGAAACTAACCCAGGAGGTTCTTGTGGTCTAGATGATGTGGCTTGAACCCTGGTGGTGGCAGTGCAGGAGGTGAGCATCAGTTGGATTCCAGGTACATTTTGAAGGTGAGAAAACAGAATCTGCTGAGGGGACAGGATGGGGGGTGTGAAGGGAAGTGAGTGAGGAGTCCAGGATGATTCTAAGATTTTGGGTTCCAGACAGTGGAAGGCGAGAAAGACTCAGAAGATTGTGCTTGGGCGGGGGGAGGGGTGAGAAGGAGGAGCTCAGTGTTGATGTGTGAAGTCTGAGGGGTACCCATCAGGCTTTCAGGGAAGATGGCGGCTAGGCCACTGGAGATACCTGGTGGTGCCCAGGACAGAAATCCACGCTAGAGACAAAAACGAGGGGTCTTAAGTTGTATGTATATGCAAAACCAGAAGAGTGGATGTGAGAGTAGACAAGAGGAGGGGGAGTCTGGAGTGCCCCAACACTAGGAGGCAGGGAAGTGAAAAGGAAGCAGCCCAGGAGCCCACAATAGACACTGGCAGGAAGAGCAGAGCCGTGATGCCCTAGAAACTGAGTGAAGGTGGCATTTTCAGCAACTGCGCCTGGGCTGGCAGGAAAGTGACATGAGAACCAAGCAGGCAGTGGGCTTGGGGACTTTGACCCAAGTGATGTGAGCCTGACAGGAGCTAGCCAAGGAGGCGAGGAGAAAAGTACCTCAACACAATAGGTGCTCTTCTTTAATTTCTTTCATGAATGTGGGCAGTACCCTCCAGGAGGGAAGGTGGGATGTGGCTACAGACACAAGGAGTACAGTAGGTGTGGTCTGAGCATTTGTGGAACTTTTCTGATTGCCTTAATTTTTTCAGTAAAATAGGGAGCAGATCATCCATCAGCTGAGAGGGAAATGGGGGCAAAAAAGTACTAGAAGATGGAGGGGAAGGGAAGGAAGGAAAGATTTGCCTGGGAAGGATGGGAGTCAAGGCACTGGGGAAGCACCACTGTGCCAGCAAGCACCCAAGGCCCACACGTGGTCTCTTGAAGAGACCAGTCAGCAGAAACATGTTCTCCCGGAGAAACACATGCAGGACAATGAAATTGGACCCCTACCTCACACCATTCACAAAAATTAACTTGAAATGGATCAAAGACTTAAACACAAAACCTGATACCATCAAACTTCTTGAAAAAAATATAGGGAAGAAACATCAATATTGATCTTGGCAATAAATTTTGGGGGCATGATGCCAAAAGCGCAAACAACAAAAGAAAAAAAAATCAACAAATGGACTACATCAAAGAAAAAGAAAAAGAAACACAGAAAAGGAACAATTAAAAAAAAAAGACAACCACAGGATAGGAGACAATTTTTGCAAACCATTTATCAGATAAGGGGTCAATATCCAGAATATATAAAGAACTCAGTCAACTCAGTAACACAAAAAATAAACAACTTGATTAAAAAATGGGCAGAAGAACTAAATAGATATTTCTCAAAAGACATTAAAATGGCCAAGAGGTACAAGAAAAGATGCTCAACATTGCTAACCAGCAGAGAAATGCAAATCAAAACCACAATGAGCGCTCAACTCACACCTGTTAGAATGGCTATCATCAAGAAGACAAGAGACAACAGGTGCTGCTGAGGATATGGTGAAAAGGAAATCCTTATACATCTTCCACCTTTATTGATGGAAACTGGCCCAACCACTAAGGAAAACTACATGAACATTTCTCAAAAAAATAAAAACAGATCTACCATACAATCCAGCAATTCCAAGGGCAATCCCAATTTCAGTTGGGGCAACAAGAGGAAGGAACCATTTTAGAAGAGATTGAGGGGATTGGAGATGTGGCTGATGTCTGTGAGTTCCAGAGGCACAGGAAACAGGTTTCAGGATTAGAGAGGGAGATGGGTCAAAAGATGGATTGACTGAGAAAAATGGGGATTGGGTTGCCAAGGGTGAGGGATGACCTGGAAACGCTAGCCTTCTCGTGGTGACTCTCACAAACAAGAATAAAGGGCATCGCTATATTGGTCCAGATGTTCTCAAGGGAGACAGCAGAGCCAGACTCTATGTGTGTGTGCATGTGCGTGTGTGTGTGCGCGTGCACACGCACACATTGAGAGGATGTCGAGTGGGGTGGGGAGGCAAAAAATGAAAGGGGGCGTTGCCAGAAACACATGGAATCTGGGGCCCCCTCTTCACTCCTGCCAGTGGCAGGGCAAGACCAAAGTGGTGGTCTTAGACCCTCTTGAACTACACTTGTATAGAAAGCTTTGCTATTCTGTTTTCTTAGGTCAGAAAAATGACAACTCAGGAAGGAAATTAGCAGAGAATATAAAAAGACAACTAACAGAAAAACACCAAAATGACCATTACCACAAAAATAAGCTCATGCCTATTAATAATAGAGAAAATGTACGTTTAAAAAAGAGATAGCTCTTGACACTCATTAGACTGGCGAAGTCTGGGGACTTTTTTTTTTTTTTCTTTTTAACATAAGCCCATGTATTGGGAGGTGTCTGAAAACAGGAACTCTCAAAACTTGCCATTGGGTGTGTAAGTTGGCATGATGACTTTGAGAGAAATTTGTCAATAACTAGTAAAAGCGAAAATGAAAATGCCTGATGAGCCAGCAATTCGGTGTCTAGTGAAATACACACATGCTCCAGGAGTCATCCCCAGGAAGTGAATGGCAGCATTGCTTGAAACACTGTAAACTTGGACGTGCCCATTAAGACGTGGCCAAAGTGTGATGCAGTCACACACAGAACCCTTTAGGACAGTGGAGATCAATGAACGAACTAGATCTACAAAACAGATCTCAAAATGATAGTGTTGAATGAAAAAAAAAAAAAAGCACATTGCTGAAGCCTCCATACCACGAATCCATTTAGCTCATTCAAAATCCACAAAGCAGTGGGGTGCCTGGGTGGCTCAGTTGGTTAAGTGCCGGAGTCTTAGGATCATGAGTTCAAGTCCCATGTTGGCCTCTGCGCTGGGGGTGAAGGACACTTAAAAAAAAAAACAATCCACAAAGCAGTATTATAAATTGTAACCCAATGTATATGGTGTGGGACATACATATAAATAAGATAAATAATGCGCACTGACTTTGACGTGATGGTAACCTCCTGGAAGAACAGGTGAGATAAAAAAAAGGACTTCAACTAGGTCTAACATTTTATGTCTTTAAAAGACCTGAAATAGGGGCGCCTGGGTGGCGCAGTCGGTTAAGCGTCCGACTTCAGCCAGGTCACGATCTCGCAGCCCGTGGGTTCGAGCCCCGCATCGGGCTCTGGGCTGATGGCTCAGAGCCTGGAGCCTGTTTCCGATTCTGTGTCTCCCTCTCTCTCTGCCCCTCCCCCGTTCATGCTCTATCTCTCTCTGTCCCAAAAATAAATAAACGTTGAAAAAAAAAATTTTAAAGACCTGAAATACAGCAAAAATACAGTATCAGTCTAATCTAAGTGGTAAGTGCCTCAAGTTTGTTATGGTATCTTCTGTGTACTTTTATGTATGTTTGAATTTTTTTTTAAAGAAGAATGTTTCTAGTTTATCAATACACATACGAGTTTGAAGAAAGAAAGCAGAGTACGAACAGTGCCGTAGGTGAGGGCAGTCTTTGTAATGCCATCACATTTGACCAGAATAGAGATTTAACCCAACCATTTCATTATGATGAGGAGGGATGAGAGTAAAGACCAAACAGAAATTTCCTCAATATTTGACTGAATCACATTAAATATTTTATGCCATATTTAGATGCCGTATTTAGATCTGGCAAGAAGTATAGGGAAGAGGAATAAGCTTCCAAAGCATTGTTTATAACTATTAACTATAAAATCAACGCCTTTAAAATTCCTTGTGATTTTGCCTTGTGACCAAAGTTTTGCTCTTGTTTTAAAGGTCATTAAAATGTATTTGACTTGGAGGATGCTACGAAAAGCGTCGCAATACCCTGGGAGCCTTGCAGGGGATGGGGGTGGGGGGTTGCTACACTACTTATCTAATTACCCCTTTCCAGGGCCTTAATTAAACCCCACAGAATCCGCCTGCTTCTATGGCTAGGATTTACATGGAGCACCGTGTCCAGGCTCTTCTCTTCCGGTCTGGCTCTTTCTGGCCACGTCACCAAACGCTTCTGCCAAGGTACGTCTTAAGAGAAGGGCCCTGGCTTGTGTAGACAGAGAGCTAGCTCTCTAGTGGACGGTACTCTAGATAACGAAAGTAAGTGTGGATGAGAGGAGGCAGGACGGCAGAAGACAACCAGACGTGCAATCTTAAGAACAACGGTGGGAATAAAAATCACCCTAACGCAGACAAAAATCAGAGAATTATAGAAATCTGTCAAAGAAGTCCTCAGCAGAAAAACAAATTACACACACCAAAGTCAAGGAAGAGCTGATTCTTGTTATTTGAGAGAGTATGTCCTATAAAGTTGGGGCTGCAAATACTGGTTTGGAGAATACTAACCCAATGCTCCTAGGAGAGGTTCCTGTGAGCCTCTGACCGTGTTTATGTCAACCTGTCAATATACAGTCTTGGTGATATATGTTTCTTTTTAAAGACACCTTATTTAATTTATACTGATTCATTAACATTGAACGAGGCCAACAACCCAGGAACTCATGCCTCGGGGAAGCCAATCTAACACATGTATTTTCTCTGTAAGGCACAGCACAGCCTTCTCTGCTTAGGAACACCGGACGGCACTTCAGCACTACTATGCTTGGGGCCATTTTAAACAGTAAGATCACCAACAAAAAGCACACTGATGCAAACAACACTGATGCAAACTGAATAGATCACAACAAAGACACTTGTTCACAGTAGGAGAGCTGAAACAAGGCAGAAGGTCACTTTGTACAACCTCATCTGGAAAAGGACTCGACAGGAGGCTCAAATTTTTGCCTCCCCATCTGTGAATGACTGTGAAAATACTGTATTGATTTGGGGGAGGGGGTACAAATAAACGTTTGCAAGTAGGCAAATTGACAAATACAGATTCTTTGGATAATGAGAACTGACAGTTAACAGGGTTTGACATCTATAAAAAAAAGCAGTATCTAGTCCTCCACAAAGAGGTACTCACATTTTGGGATTCATTTGGACAAAGAACTTTATAGTCAAGTCATTAGCTCAATAGGAGCTTTATGGAAACAATGGTCTCCTACGGACTTGGAATGGAGAGATCAGGTCCGTTTTGCATATTCCTTACTTCTGGCATTGTCCACCGAACAATGCATCCTTGTCTTTTCCACTCAGGATGGAAGCATCTCAGGCAAACCTTCTCTGGGAAATGGGATGAAATCACATTTCCTTCCCCAGAGAACGCACAGCTTAGCTTGCTCTGGGGGAAAAGATGCAGATACAACACACAGACACCAATTCCACAGTACCAGACAACACTTGCAGCAACCCAAATGTTCTCGAACATTGTGGAGACTCCATCTGGTTTCAGGAATCTTTTGTTAATTGCCCCACCGGGCTTGGGGGATCTGGGACTGCGCAGGGTTGTCTAGGTCTTGCTGCTGTCACTACAGACTTAGGGGTTGATTTTTAGGGTCGTGGTGTGCCGCTCCAAAAACGAGACTTTGCCACCGCCCAGAAACTTCTTGGCCACCACACTATGTTTTCCTCCTGTGGAATAAGAGTGCCTTGTGCCTGTGTTTGGTTTTAAGTCCATGTGCCTTAAAGCTGTGTTCTCAAAGCAAAAAGTATGTTGGCAATTTGAGCCCAGCAAATGCTCGGGCTGGCCTCTGGGGCTCCCTTTGCTGTTTTCTTGTGGTCGGGTACAGAGCCTATTCTGTTTCGAGTAATAGCCCCACAGAACCCACTGGCAAGCCATGAAAACAACAGCTATGCTTATCAGAAGATGAAGAGAAGTGTGCAAAGAAGCCCCTGAGAAATTATTTTAAGCCCTCCCCCTCTCCCTACCAGGTTCCCGAATCACTAATGGAATAACCCTTCAGCAAACCAGGCAGTGGGACCTGATCCAGGGCCTTGCAGACTTGGAAGGCTCTTTAAGACCGGCTGGTTCACTGGCCACACTTTTTCAAAGACTCTGAAGCCTGAGGCTGAGGGAAGACAAGAAAGTGTGTGAGATCCTGTGGCTGGAGGGTGGCAACGCAGGGCCATTGAGGAGGTCTCTGACCCAAAGTTCTATGCTCCTAACACTTTTTTCAAGGTGACCAAGAATCCCACAAATTGCTCTGGGATCTTCCCACCGTCAACACGATCCTGGCCTGCCAGGAGACAGGGCAGGTCCTGGCAGGTGGCATTCCAGGTCAAGCTCAGGTGCAGTCATCTATCACCGAGCCCTCTGAACAACAAATGGCAACAGCCCAGACCACAAAAGGAGAGGATGCTGTATACTCTCACAATGCTCCCACACACAGCATTTCAGGGCACACCCAGTTCAGCTGGGGGTCACTGGGCAAGCACACGGTCCAGTGCACTGTCCACCTGCTGGTGGACATCTGACAACCTCGCCCCAACCCCCTTCGTACTTCTCCATGATGAGTTTATATCACAGTTTCTTTCTTACAAATATGTGGGTAGGGTAGAGCATTGGTCAATTAGGACGCACATTTTATAGGGAATTAGTATGCATACTACTCGTTCCTGGCTCTTCAAAATGATCCTTTCAATTCAAGAAAACTTCAATCACGAAATGCCTTCTCACCAGCAGTCAGGGACTTGGACCCTCCCTGAATTCCCAACCTGTCGTGTGCCAGACCATACCTGCCTGGCCCCCAGGTGTACTGAAAACACTATAGTTTTGCCACCTCCCATCTGCTACCCTCCCATGCTCCACACTAGTCCCTATGCCTGCTGAAACACGATCTCTGCTGGAAACTGCACCCTCCTCCCCAGCTCCAAGTGCTAATGAACCCAGTTCTGTGTTTTCCATTGCACTTAGTTTAAATCTTAATTACCATTTTTATTATGGCCTGTTTTTAGATAGCGGAGTATTTCCACCTCCCCTGTCTAGGACTTTGAGGTCAGGGTCACTGCCCACTCATCTTTGTATCCTGCCCAGGGCATCACCTGCCATGTGTGCGCTTCATACACATACCCCTGGAGTATGGAGGGGAAAAAAAAAAAAAAGAAAAGAAAAGAAAAACTACGGGAAATTAGAGAAAAAAAAAATGTGCAGAAAGGAGGCCTGGTCTCCAGGGCATGCTAACATTTTTATTCTGTCGTTCTCATGACTTCTCTTCGAAGGCCTGAGATAAAAACACTCCCAAGAAATCCCAGATCCACCCTCTCCCCTCTTAAAATGATAAAGCCTGGGTCCTTGGTCTAGGTGTGGGGTAGGAAGGGACCAGGGCATCAAATCCTGGAACCAGCCCCCCGGAGCATGGCTGATTCAGCAGGGATTGCTGGTGTCCACCTCCAGAAGGATGCAGTGAGCCAAAATTGGACTTTCAAATCCCAATCCAAATCCTCCCGTTGCCGCCTTGGACGAGTCACTTATTTTCTCTGAGCCTTGGGTGCCCCATCTGTAGAATGTTAAGGGAGCATAAAAGATTACTGTTACCATGAGCACTTGCTGAAAGTGTCCCTCAGATGTGCTGTCATGCATCCCCTGGCTGTGTGGGGTAGACCATGACTCTTCTGGACTCGACTACAAAGAGGGAAGCACAGCTCATGCTTTCAATCCTCCTAATCCTTCAAACAAATATTTCATCTCAATCAAGAAACATGTTACCTTTCAGCAAAAATCTAAGGGGCTCACCTGTGCTTAACGGTCCTTCCTTGACATTCCATAGTACAGGACCTAGTCCTCCGACTCAAGATGCCTGCTGAATACCTCCATCACTTACAAACGTCTCCAGGAAGCAGTTTCTGAGACACATCTGAAACTAGCTTCTTGGGCCCACAGCCTCCATCGCACTCTCTACCTGCCTCCTGAGCCCAACCCATGTGAAAAAGTACTTCCAGAAGCTTGTTCCTGTCCAAAGTGAACCACAAGTATAGTCAAGGTAACAAAACTGAGGAAGACGCATCATTTCAAGAAGTGAGCCCAAAGGGAACGCTCTGGAATCACTGCTTCAACCTTCAGCCCTGGCCTCCTGTGCTTCTGAGGCTCAGTGCATTTTGGCAGACTCCAGTCCTCCAAATTTATCCCTGTGGGTCCCCCAGATCTGACGGGATCCTTTGTCAGGGACCTCTCTTCCCCTCCACAGGGGCCGCTCTGCTCTCTAGCTCAGGGTCCCAGGGCGGCTGCATGCGCAGGGCTGGCTCACCCCCCAGACATCAGCCTGTCACTTCTGCAGCCCTCCCCATGCTGGGCGCCACACTCACTTTCCTGCCTTCTCTGCTAGGAGCCCATGAAGACAGGGGCTGTCTTTCGACTGCTTTCCTTCCAGAACCCTGCTCCCAATCACCCCGTGAAGGAGCAGACCACCGCCAACCTGGGCAGGAGGACCAGACACTCTTGGCTCTGATGGCAAACACGCAGCCTGGAAAGGACCCCCACACAGGCCCTGCTCAGACACCAGGTATTTTGCAAGGGGACAAGGGCCCCTTAGTGGCTGACGGTCTAGCTATGAATCAGCAGCTCAGAGAGGAGAGACTGTGCCTTCATTCTGGAGCTTCCAAGGAGGGCAAGTGGCACACTGCATGGCTGCCCTACTTAGCCAGCCTCCTTCCTCTCTCTAAACTGTGCCACAGGATTCTGAACACTGGCATGACCTGGAATGCTCAAGAACGTCAATCAACTTCCCAGGGACTAGCAAGTGCAGGAAAACAATGTGCCAGCACCACTCTCAGGCCATGAGGACCACTACTACTCATCTGAGCAGTCATCATTCGCCCCAGACATCCAGGTGCCTAGTTTAACCGGAGAGAATAAAGACAAGTTCGCTGTGACTGAAGGGAAAAGACTGGATGGCCTCAGGGTCCCCAGTTCAAGATTCCAGCTGTCAGTTGGTAGTTGTAGGGTCAAGGTCAAATCGCTCTGAGCCTGTTTCCTCATCCAAACACCAGGGATGACAATGCTTCCTTGTAACGCTGCCGAAAGGACTAAGATGAGGTTCCAGAGAAGACGTGTGTGGCCCCAAATATGGCACGCAGTGTGCACATACTGAACTTTAGGAGAAGCGAAAATGTGTCGGACGGCACCTGAGCGAAAGTACACACACTTGCAAGCCATTCGGAAGAAGAGTTAGTGCTCTCACGCGCCCTGGCTGAAAGCCCAAACTTTCAGGAAATTCCTAATGAAACAGGAAGTAGCATATTTTCACAGATAACCTCCACTTTATCCCTTTTATTTCCAGGCTACAGTTTTTAATGACCCTCTTTGCTGAACTACTGCTCTTCAAAGAGACTTATTTTACAGTGAGGAAGTTGAAGCTCGGTGCTGTCTGAGCTCTTAAGGAAAAGGGTGAAATCTCGCCATCTGCAACAACGTGGATGGGCCTAGAGGGTATTATGCTAAGTGAAGTAACGCACACAGGGAAAGACCATCACTGAACGATTTCACTTCTTTGCGGACTCCAAAGAATAAAACAAACAAAACAGAAACAGACTCATAAATACAGAGCGCTGCTGGTTGCCAGAAAGGAGGAAGGGTGGGAGGGGGGTGGGCAAAATAGGGGAAGGGGGTGAAGAAGTACAGCCTTCCAGTTATACAATTAGTCATGGGGATGTCATTTACAGCATGGGGAATACAGTCAACAATACAGTAATAACTCCATATGGTGACAGAGTAACCAGGCCTCTCTGAGCAATCATTTTGTACATTTGTAATGTATAAAAATACCAAAACACTACGTTGGCTACCTGAAACTAATATAATACTGTAGTGGGTCAATTATACATCAACTGAAGACAAAGAAAGAATTAAGCAAAGGGACAAGGCAGAGACGGGCAGCGTTATAGAGGGAGGAAGCCCGGGCTTAGTTAGGAGCTGGGCTCCTCCTGATTCTTGGGGACACCGGGCTTGCACATCTGTGTCTCCGTCTCGTGATTTCAAAGAGGCAGAGGCCTAATCTCTGGGCCCCTTCCTGCTTTAACATGATCTGACTGTACAAGCTACAACGACCAGAGATTGTACTCAGGAGCTGGCGCTCCCCCCAACAATTAACGCACAGAAGCTCTGTCACTACGGACACCCTGTGCAGGGCACCCCTTTGGGAAGGTGGACAGGCTGGTTAATTTCTTCCGGTTCACCGGCTCTAAGGAGAGCGAGGAGGAGACGCCAGTGACCGTTCCGGGAAGAAGCCGCCTCCTCTCCCGCCACAGAAGCCATCCGGCTGCCAGAGACACCGGGTCCTCCGCTTGCTAGGCCTCGGGCAGAGCCCGCAGATGGACTTTCCTTAAAGGAGAATTTGTTTCTTGCAAAAGGCCGGTGGCACTTACTGATTCTAAGACTGCAGTGTGACTTAAGGCTCACAGAACAGATGATCTGGAACTGACCAGGGATGAAATTTTAGTTTCTAGATGGGTTTTCTGGCGGGCTGAGGGAATCAGAGTTGGAGGCAAACGAGCATGCCAGCTGCGTTCTCTTCTGTTAGCTCCTGATGCTCTTCAAACTCGCCTTGGTGCGACGCCACCAGCTGCAAAGCCAGGCTGCCCGAGGCCGGCTTCCGCTCCCCAAGGCAGAGCACACCCCATCTCTGGGCAGGCGTCATAGCAACGTTGCCTGCCACGTAAAATACAGAACACCCAGGTAAATCTGAATTTCAAACAAACGGCACATCGCTTTTTGCTCTAAGTATGTTCCATGCAACATTGGGGCATGCTTACGAGGAAAAAAAGATTCGTTGTTTATCTGCAATTCCAATTTAACTGGGCACCCTGCATTTCTATTTGCTAAATATGGTAGCCTTAATTGCACTCAGTTCAAGCAAAGACCGGTTGGTTCTTAGTCTCAAAAGCGTAACAACATCCTACAACCAACCTCTCCCCTGCCAAAACAAAAAAACGCTCAATACAAAACTTGTCTTTTTATTTCAAGATGTGGTTTTAAAAAGCAGGTCCGTAAGTATCAAATAAAAAACAGAAAAAAAGAGATGTAGCTCCTTGGAAATCTCCCTAAGTTAAGAGCTCAGAGTGCCACTGGCCACAGGCACTGGTGCCAGCCAGCTCTTTGGGCAACCCCACCGGCTTCCAACTGGTCAGGGTAGGGGGAGAGGGGAGGAGGCCGGTGTGGGCGGGGGCAGGGGGAGTGCAGAAGAATGAGAGGAAGCAGCACGAGAGCTCAAGCCACAGCACTTCACGTCCCTCTACAGACAGCAACACCCACCTATGGTCAAGTTAACTGTGAGATAAAAGAAAAAGTCACTGATTTTATAGAATGCCCGGTAGTGGAGGGACACACACATCCCTGCCCCACCCTCGCCCCTGACTTCTCCCAGTCTCTGCACTTGGGCTGGTAACCAGGTAACCCTCCCACGCACTGCGGCATTCGGGGCTTCTGGGCAGACGGCGCTCAGGGCCTCCGGCGGTTCACTGTGCTGGGGCAGGTGAAGAGACAAAAGACCTCCCCGAGTTTTTCTGAAATTATGTTTATTATTCTGGTCAAAAGTTACTCATATAAATGCAGTGGTCTTAAATTTTTATTTTGCATGGTTGACTAGCCTGAATAACGAGCTTGCAGTCTGAGGCAGTTTTCAGAAGCTTTGCTCTTCAAAATGGTGTTAGCGTTGTTGTAGGGCAAAGTCCTCACCAACAAAAAAATCACACGAATGAAATGAAGTCAAGAACAACGTGCTGGTACCACAG